TTTTTTTTTCCAGGCCTTCTTTCACAGCTGCTTAAGCTGCGTATATAACTACGACGATCAACCCACGGCATGTCTTCGTATCTTTCACTGCAGTTCAAATGTATGATATTTTATATATTTACTTATACGCTGCAAATTGCTTAGTAAAACATTCTAAAACTAAAAAATATCTCTTAGTCGGCGTGTTGGACTATGTATTAAATGGGTTTTAATTCATGCACGCCTTGCGTGCCTATGTTTTAGAAAGTGCACGTGACTGTTAGCGACAAACCGTTGGTGACAGATCTATTGTAGACCAACTTACTCTTCCTTACCGGTCCAGATGGGCAGGCCTGTCAAGTTTTAAAACTGCAACGTCATTATGCATCGTGTTTGAGTCGTAGTTCCCGTGCATGATGATTTGTAAAACTTTAAACTTCTGTTCGTTCGAAGATGTTGCGCCAGCGTCACTTTCCTCACGATAATGTGCACCCATTCTAAATAAAGGCATGAAAAAGATCAGTCTAACCGAAATACTCTTTAAGGTTAGTGTGGATTCTAATTGAAAAACTGCATCGAACGAATTGATCAGCAGATCTAATCGGTAAAAAATAAAAAAAATTACAATACATGGGCCGGCAATCAACCTCTTTTGTTGCAAAACGCAAGGAATTGTGGTCGGTGGTGAAATCAAAGGCGCAATGAACTGTCGTTATGCGCGAATGGAAGAATTAAGATGCGCTGTTTTCCATGTGCTCTCTTCGATCGATGAAAGCAGGGATGAAAGCTATCGGGAACAACAGGAGCACAACTTATCAGTCCATAATATCCAACCAAAACGCTATTGTGAAGGTAGTGAGTCAAAGGCACTCGGCCGCCGTGCTAGAGAATCGAGTCAATGTTCAAAATTTTATCGTTTGATTCTATTAAAGCTCTTAAAACCGGATGAGTAGAAGTAAAGCAGTTGCAATAACTCAGGTGAAAAAGGTTCAACGTTGTATTTTGCTACTGATGATGCCTTTCTGTGTAAAATGCCACAACAGCAAGCCAAATCCAGGTGGAAGCGTGAGTTTCGTCCGTAAGAGAGCTCTGAAAATGTAATGAAGCTTAATGCTGCTGATTGCTGAAATCCGAGAAGTTAAATAAACCGCGCAGTTTGCATGTGTTACTGTTACCGACGATCTGAGTTCTGTGTGGGGACAACCCTGCTCTGCATTGACACTTTTTATATTCTCCTTCCCTTCGGCAGCATTTTGTACCATTTAGGTAAACTAGTTAACTGTTGCACCTCTTGTCGATCTGATCTGAGGGGCCGAAATTGTGCCTCTTTCTTTCTGAGGGAAGAATGCTTGAACAAAGTATGAAAGCTAGCGTTTGTGGCTACCAGAAACTCGCAGCGACAGTGAGCTTAGCTAAGGAATAAAATGCATCCTAAGTAACATCCTAACCTAACCACGATGTCTTTAGGTTTCGAGCCATCCACGCAGTGAGATGCAGTCATTACCCACTGTCTGTGCACTAAAGTTCCACCGCAGAACTGAGAACCTCTTGGACTCTGTAGAAGCGCCTGCCAAGGCCAATCACCCACTCCAGCTTCCACGCCCCCAACAATCCTTGAAGCAAATCCTTTACCGCACCCGTCTGTCAAAAAGGTTATATCAAAAGTCTGTTACTTCGGTCGACTCATTGGTTTTGGAGGGCATGGAACTTTTAACCCCCAGTCGTCTCGAAGGAGCGGGAGCGGACCCATCAATGAAAGGATTTTTCAGAATTCTGAATTCGAAAAGAATTTTTACTCTGTGAGGCTGACACTTNTGCAGTTGTGTACGCGCATCTATCAAGTGTTTTTTCAACAATTTCGCGTTTCTAAAGCCGAGCAAAGGCGAATGCCCCCATTTTTGTCTTTTCAGGAAGTTAATTGTGCAATGATGTTGCTAAATGATATTCTGTAACTTTCGGGAAAAAAAAACTAGTATTGCACGGTAGCTCAGTCAGTCAGATCATAACATTTGCGTTAGTTACAAGCAGAATTGTACTATAAGGTATTTTAGAGTAGAGCGCCGTGAAGATCTGGGACAAATATGGTAATATTTTACGAGAACATCGCAAGTTTCTATGGCCGTTTGTGCCAGCTAATACGTGCGTCTAAGGTTTACATATAACCATCTGACCTTGTGGTGGATTTGTTCCAGGCACTGGTGGCATCGTGGCTGGTGGAGCTGTTGTAGGTTTTCCCGGTTTTCCTGGTTTTCCGATTCCTGCCTTTTTCTGGATCCAGTCAATAAACATCGACACCCTAGCATACACTCCGTACTTTTCTTTGGCGGCGCAGCCATGTCCCCAGCTCGTTACACCGTGCAGGTAAAATCTAATTACAAAGTAGAAAAAGGTTGCTAGTCACGCGTTATCTACTAGTATCTGAATGGAAACCAAAATAACAGAACCTTCTATGCCAAGGAAGGCAAGTAAACTGGACACAGATTCAACGGTATTCCATATATATATTCTCTTTCTGACATCATGTGAGTTCCATTTCAGTATAGTTGTTACTTCATCCTCTGCAGTTTTTATACCTTAGCAAGGTATGCGATTTGAATGTAATTTTGCCCTAACTCAAGAGCTCGGCCCACATATATAGTCTACGTGTTTTTTATCTTATACTGCTCGTTTTTAGTTATGGGGGGTGGGACAAACACTCATACCTTTCGACATTACCATCCTTTTTACCGCAGACAAATGGTCCCCCGCTATCACCCTGACAAGCATCCTTTCCACCTTGCTTAAGGCCAGCGCAGATCATACTGCTATCAATAGCCCCACCATACGCCTTGTTACATACATCATGGGAAACAGCTGGAACTTGCACTTCATGTAACACGCCAGGTTGTGAACCTCCGGATGAAGTCGTACCCCAGCCTGTTGTCCAGCACATCTGTTGATCGGCTGGCTTAGAGAGAGCCTCCGGAAGGCATACTAGATTCACTTTGCTGCGTTCGAGATAGAACAAGCATTAGCGCTAATGTAGCCTGGTCAAATTAGCACTACCCATCGGACAAAAAGCCTTATAAGTCGTCTTTCAGACACAGATGAGCAAAACAATCTGTTCTCATTCAGATAGTGTGGGCATCCAAAGAAGAGCCCGATACCGCACTGTGTCAGGAACAGCTGCGGACAAAGCTACTACGTATGCTATGCACTGTCCTTTGGACAACATAAACATAGTCTCTTTTGACATTATTAGAAGTTTAGTTTTTAGAGTTACCTTATGGACAATACGTCTTATGTTGCATTCTACTTGATTGTCTTGCACTGGTTTTGTCATCATAGAATCAAAACGGGTTTTAGAATGGAAATTACGTGTAGACCAGTTCCCAGTGTTTAACCTGACCTCGCTTACATTCGTATATACATACATGTACATAC